AAAACATACAGGTTCGTGGAGCCTACTGCAGACTTGTTAAACAGAATCGTTACTGGCGGGCTCCAGATTGCACATTGCTTAACAAAATATCAACAATAATGAAACTCCAGGTTGTCCTTATATGCCACAAAGTTTAGACATCTGGCAAGAGAAGCCTTCAAGGAGCTTAAAGCTACTCTTCCCTCCAGAGTCTGTTTTGGAGAGGGTGGATTGACCCCATTTAGATAGTTTCTTTCTAACTTATGCTGTTTGCCTATGAGAGGTCACGGGAAAGATGACTGCAGTCCCTTTGAAGTCATCAAATACTAGGTTATTAGAATTTAAAGGGGACCTGGGAGATGATCTCAGCGTTTTGTTACCTTTTCTCACAAAGGGCAACAGCAGCAGTTGCCGCCTTACTCTCCCAGATGAAATGCAGTCAGGAGTCATCTGTGGCATTATAAGTGCTGTCCTCCAGATTTCTCCTTTGATAATGAAGAGTTGGCTGAATTACTGTTCTCCACCGCTGGAATGCATTGCTTTTTTCCTTAGTGCAATTTTTAAAAGCAAACACCAGTTCATTTGAGGAGATGGCTTTATTTAGTATGTCCATTAAATGTGAGTAAGCTGCTGAGGAGACAAGACATGGTAAAGCTTGAAATTATCAAGCTTCTACGGAAGTAAATTGCTTTCCTTGTAAGAGAACTAAGGTATTGTTTTCCTGTAGCATTCAATGGGAAGAGTCTAAATGCAGTGAACTCTTGGGAGCTCTGAGTTAATAGCCATGGCTGCAGAATCACATTCAGCACACCCATACCTGAGCATCTGCAAATCCTGGAACCTTGCCTGCTGTCTTAACACTGGACTTGACCTCAGGAAAATAAGATACATTGATATCAGTTGATCCCCGAGTTTTATTGAACATAGTACTCTTAAATAGCCAAGTATTACACTGTGTCTCATGACTAATTGCGGCAAGAATTGAGGAGAAAGAAATCAGTGAGGCTGGATTTCTTTTTGGGGGAAAAAAACTTCTTTGTATAGGTGAAGGGCAGGTGACGGGCAGGGAGAGAAGACCACACAGTGCCTGGAAGAAGGTGACAGGTATGGGAGCAGTGATGAGCGCTGTCAGAAAAGAGGTGCTTCCTGAGTCATCTGGGACACTTGTTAAAATCCAGATTTAAGTTCCACTCCTCCTTCCAAGGTACTTTTCCTGGTAAGTCTGAGAAAACTGGGAGAAGATTCTGGAAAAGTGTTAAGATCTTTGAGCTTGGGGCCTCAGGCAAGTCACAAGGCCCCTGAGCAACAACATTTACCTGAACACAAGCAGACTCTAAGAAAGGGAAGGAATTGGTGTAGTTATGAAAGTTCAGTGAGAAAAAACTTGAGACCGACGTTGTAATGGAAGGGTATCGGTGTACTTGTACAACTTCCAGAGTGAGTAGGCGGATAAATATAACACCGTGTAGGTTTCTGGGACGTCTACTAAGAGAAGTGAGTGAGGCAATTACTGTTTCTTGGAAGGAGGAGGAAGGAAACTCACAGCATCTGTATTTGAACTTATAAGACCTTGATAACCACTTGAATGTTTTCCTATTTGAATAAACACAAGTTCAAAGATGATTTGCATGTTTAGCTCCACAGTAAATTCACTTGTACTTTCATGAAAAGCAGCTAAGTATTTTGAATTTATTTTTATTTTTAGAATACAGGAAAATCAGCCTTTCCACAAGGAGGAAGCCCTCAAGTAGAAAATCTTAGTTAGCTGTCCTCTTCTCGCTAAGTGGTCTCAGAGCAACACTTGAAACATGCTGATGACCATGAATTCAGCGACAGAGATGTATGTGGGAATGCACAGGGGACGGAGAGCAAGAAAAGTATTACCATCAGATTTTAATGTTTCTGAAAAATATTTTTTTCTCTTTCCACTATCAAAAAAGTGCCTGGGCCCCACTCAGATCTTCTGAATTTCAATTATGTGCGAGTGGGGCCTGAGCCTATGGTGACTCTGATGTACAGCTCGGTGGACAGCCACTCACTGACCACCACACGGGTGGACAGCCAGTGAGGACACTTGTTTTAACTAAATGCTTAGAAGCCTGCTAGAACTTTCTTACTAATGGATTCTCATGTCCCCACACGTTACGGGAATGCTGCTGGATTATGCGGGATTGTTGCAGAAAGGAAAAAATTTAAGCCATTTTTATTCCATCTTCAGTACGAGAAGTCCATGAATATAAGTGTTTAAAAGTTACAGGCACAACATTGTGGTAAAGAATTACTGCTGTGAGATGTCTGGGAAGTCCCTTCGGCTTATTGCATCCTCTGCCTTTTCTTTCCCTGACTCTCTGCACTTCCACTACTTGGGCAAGTCCATTTGCCACTGCAGATATGCTTGTGACTCACAATACAGGGTACGAAGTAACTACTTTGCAGATTCTAATGATACCTCAGATATACTAGTTCACTAGTTCCTTTTTATGTTTTGCTTTCATGGATGTTAACCATCATTGAGGGACTGTTGCATGAAGATGTTCATCTTTGAAATTTTATAGGCCAGATAGATTTGCTGAGATGTGTTCTAGAATTTTTCTTTCATGATTTTTTTTTAAATAAAATTGATAAAAAATTACAAAAGTAACACATGAATAAAATGGTTTCCCTCAGAACTTTAAATGTCTTTGTATGTATTGATTATCTCTAGTCGCTTATAGGATTTTTTTTTTTTAAATTGGGAAATTGCGGGAGGGAAACAGTGTTGGGGAATTGGGGAAGGGGCAGCCAAGTTGTCCTTCCATCTTAGTTGTGGAGGGCGCAGCTAGCTCAGCTCAGCTCCAAGTCCAGTCGCGGTGTTCAATCTTAGTTGCCCGTGGGGGGTGGGTGGAGAGCCCGCCATCCTGCCACCTGTTGGCAGCTCAGCTCAGGCGCACCTCACTGGCCCATGTGGGAATCGAACCAGCGACCCTGTTGCTCAGAGCTTATTCTTAACCAACTGAGCCAGTCAGCTGGCCCAAGACATACCATTCTTTAGCACAGGAAAAGTTTCTGTTACATCTTGAATTTTATCCACTATTATCACCTCTTGTTCTCATGTTCTTCAACTCCCATTAGATAGACTGTTTGCCATTTGGATCTATCCTGTGTCTCTTCTCTCATTTTTTAATGTTTTGATCTCATTATTTTCTGAACATTTCTTTTTGCAGTCATTTAAAATTTGTAGACATTTTCTCTCTCATTGCTTCTTTTTTCATAGAAGCCTATTCTTGTTGTGTGTTCATAATATTCTCCTGTAGTTTTAAAGAGAGCTATGTGATGCCTGTTTCTCCCTCAGGCCTCCTACAGGGGAGAGAAGTTTGCAGGCTCTGGAAGTGGGAAGGTTATGTGGAGGGTGGGCAGCCAGGCTTCTCAGAACGCCCGGGAGGGAGCAGGCTGGAGAGCGCCACCTTTGCCAAAGCAAGCAGGGCTGCTTTCTGTGTCCTGTGTCTGTTCAGCTCTCACTCCGCTTTCAGAAATATCCCTGCGGTGCAGAGTTAGCTCCTAGTCTGGTCTGCGGCTCCTTCAGGTCCGTCATCCCTGGGGGCCCCCACGGCATGCTGCCCACTCTGCCCAGCAGGCGGAAGCCACGCCCGCCAGCTTCTCTGTGTGAGCGGCGTGACTAGCACAGCTGTTCCATATGCCATTCTCGACAGAACTGCCCTGGCAGTTGCCCCTCCGCCTCTCCTGCCCTTTGTCTCTGACTCAGCTGCGAGTTTCTCCAAGCTGCCTTGGGAAGAAGCATGTCTAGTTTACCTTCGGTAGGCCATGGGTCTCCGTCCCACCACTCACCTCTGCCACTGCAGTGTGGAAGCAGCCATAGATAGTAATACATCAGCTTTAGCTGTGGACACTGAAACTCGAACTTCATGAAATTTTCACATCACAAAATATTGTTCTAATATTTTTTTCCAACCATTTAAAAACGAAAGCTCCCAAGCAGCACAAATTACAGACGGTGCAGGCCAGATGTGACTCACAAGCTGTAGTTTATGGACCCCTAATCTAGAGGGAAGAACTCTGAACTATCAGCAAACTATTCCTTTTAGCTCTCATATTTCCTCCATTCATTCCTGTAAAAATGGGCCATTTCCTTGAGCGTCCCAGAAGTGTTCGTCATGGGCGTCATGTAGTGAGTGACACAGACCCGCTGCCTTAGTGGAGAAGCCGTACCCCCCCCCCAACTCCTTTAGAGTTTGCTTCCCGACATTTCACTTCAGAGCATCGTGCTAGAAAAGCCCAGCTTGTGGAAATGACTGGCCAGCCAACTCACAACGGAACAGCAACTAAACATGTTAACCTAAGCTGTTACTGTGGAGGGCTTTCTTTTTCCGTAGTGATATTTTTTTAGATGAATCTGGCATGACTGAAGGTACAGCCAAGCCTGGTCTGCAGAACACGCTGGCATTGTCGCTTCTGTGACGGCTGCCTAGTGAAGAAAGGTCATTTGGATTGTCACGCTGTGTCTAGGTGCTTGTATTTTTAGACACATTAGGTTGACAGTTATGACCTTCACTTGATATCTCTAGCAGTGCCACACGGGTCATTATACTGCTTTGTACACTTTGTGCTGTGCCAGTGGGTGTGCCATAATGGCAGTGACGTCGACAGGAGGTGGAATTCAGCCTCTGTTTATTCCTCTGTGCCCCTGGCAAGGCTCCATCGCCCTTGTCCTGACTCAGTGCTGTCAAAATGCTGAGGTGCGGTCCAAGGGGCAGGTAGCCCACTCCAGCCAGACCCTTCAATAGTTATGCAATCTTGAGAAACCTGTAACCTCTGAACCTCAGGGGCCGTGTCTATAAAACGGCAAATACAATGCTACCTACTTTGCCCATTGTTGGAAAGCGTGATGAAAATACATGAAGTGCTATGGCGAAGCTCTCAGATGCTAATAGTCTTCTTAAGCCCGGAAAGCGAGCTTCACTAAATGTCACAGAATAGCTACCATTTAGCTGACCACTTAGGGTGTGCTAGGCATAGCTAGTTTAACTCAGTCCTCACAGTGAGGTAGGCACACCGATCCCTAGAAGTTGTTCGAAATCCTAGAGAAGAGAGGGATTTGAAACCAGGCAGCCTAACGTGAGTGTTTTAAGACTGTCTGCCTCCAGAGCGGCCACCTGATCTTACTGAGAAATGCTGACGCTTTAGCCGTAAGGCTTTCACCTTCTAACACACTCCATTGCTAAGTCCTCCACGCAGCCAGGCAGTGGTGCTCAGTAACAGACACTGGAAGCCTGGCCACTGACTAAAGGATTGATCCTCACCAGAAAATGGTGTCTCCCTAAATTGGCGCTTAGAATCCAGTCTCTAGGACCCAGGAATTAATGTCCTACAGGTCCACACTCAGACTCAAAAGACAGCACTGGGCTGGGTAAGCAAGGCAGACACAGCCCCTGCCCTCACGGAGCACACAGGGTAATGAGGAAAGGGCAGGGTGACTTATTTAACATAAGGAGGCCAGGTATAAGAACAGGGAGCCACTGGGTTTTGTCCTTACAGCTGTGCACGCAGGGGCGCTATGAGTCTTCATTTACTGATTTCTATAAGTTTTCATTAAATATGCCACATATCCAATATCCAGGCTGTTTTATGTCAGTGGTTATCTTGTGACTATTTTTACTCACTTGTCTTGAAAGAGGCCACATTTACTTAGGAACCTACTCTAAGGAGCCTAATGAAAATTAGCTGCTAAATTTTCGGTCTACACTTGCTGAGATGGTTCAACACATGGCCAGTAGATGGCAGCAGTGGATTGCTCTTTCAATGACATCTTCCTGTGACGTCTGGTCTGTCGTTACAGTTTTTCTGTACTTGACTCGGCAAGGTTTCCTTGGGCCGGAGGTTGATCGGCTCCTCAGTTTCCCAGGTGTGTACCCAGTTTATCTTGGCTTTCGTTGAGTTTTTGGTTTTCAATTCGTGTTTTTGCCAAGCCCACCGTTTCAAGAGGCTAAGCTAAAATACTGGTAATTGTGAGAGAAATTATTCACAGACTGAATGGTTTGGGCAAACTCAAGAATAAGCAATTGCGGGGTAACCAGAGAAACATGTGGAGAGGTGTCTTTCTGCTGTGATTTCTAAGTGCTGTTAGGACTCGTGGAATGGTAGGCCCAGTCAGTTTGGGTTTCAGCTGTTAGGGTTCTCATCCAGCATTTGAATTACCCATGTGAAGGGGCTTCATAAACCCCGATCATTTCCCCCGAGGCTGGGCAGTCCTGAGAGCCTGACTGCGGCCTGCCTATTCCTTTAGAAGTGTACAGTGATTGGTGTGTAAAGAGTGAACATGGACTCTGTACGTTAGTGATTAGCTCACTTCTCTTTTGCTTTGTTATTTAGGAAAGCAAAGTTATGACTAAATGGTTGTAGTTTACATACTGCTACTATATTGCAAGAATCTAAATAATCTGAATTCTCTGGCAAATCTTCAAAAGCTATTGTAAGGGTAAGGAAATTTATTTATTCCTATAAAGTAGCAGTGAGGTATTAATAATAATGCACAGAATGGCAGTATCCAGTTCTAAATGTACATGGAAACATGCTTATAGAATTAGGACATGGCAAGGGATGGGAGTGGTGTTGCTAAATGACTAGCTAGGCATAAGAAATTCAACTAGTTTGATCTGCCTAGTGCCTATATAAATTACATAATGTGAATCACATTGGGAAGGATGGCTGATACTTTTTCCTTGTGAAGTGGCTGGAAAAAACGAATTTTGGGCAAAAACAATACAACATGTGGCCAAATTGAAAATACTCATATCCAAACACACATAAAATTGGGCCCAGAAGCCAGTATAAGTGCCAAATAAAGTTCAACAGGTGTTTTATCAAGATTTTGTATTTTTCAATATCTTAATTACCACATGGATGAATTATTGGTGCCGTCTCACCTCATGAAATTGGCTTTCAGTGTTGAGCTCTTCTAAACCTTTCACAATCTTTTTAAAGCCCTGAATAGCAACCCCTGTTAAGGCATAAAACTTCAGTAGGATGGCTTGAAATATTGGAATCGGGCATGTATTTATGTGTGAAAAGATTTGTAACGTTGATATTCTAAAAGAAAAAAGTGAGTGACATTTTTCAGAATAAGTGAGAAACAATAATTGTTACTAAGTTATTTCTTCATTGTAAAAAGGGCATAAGAAGAATAGTTACCTCCTAGGATTGTGATGAGAATTAATTGAAATTACACTCAAAGCAAGAAGAAATTGTGAATGGTGCATATATAAAGCATTCAGTAGTCATTAGCTATACAGTCACTGGCATCATTCTTAGGATGGGCAGCCTTCTTTTGTTTTCAAATTTAAGTAAACAGCCTTACTACATTGCAGTCCTTAAGTGGTCTAAGCCTTGATACTTTGTTAACAAAATGTAAAAAGTAGTATGTGAAGTCTTTATAGTGTTCACTTTTAGTTATTAATTCCCTGGGAATTAATTCATTGGTCTGCATTCCCTCTGATCCCTCCAGCTCATGGTTGATATCTTAAATTTGCATACATTAAAGTTGATTCACCTTTGGATTTTGGTGAAGGCGTGCAGTCATGTGTCCACCATCCTACCACTGTACAGAGTGGTGCCGTCACCCTGAAAATTCTGCTAGTCAGCCACTGCTCCTTCCCCGATAACCACCGATCTGTACAGCTTTGCCTTTTCCAGAATGTCATATGAACAGAGTCATACATGTGTGATTTAGGGTTTGGCTTCTTACACTTACAAAATGCATCTGAGATTCACCCTGTTGCATGGATGAATACTTCAAATCAATAGCTTCTTTTTATCACTGGATGGATGTACAATAGTTATAGTAGTTTATCCATTTGCATGGTGAAGGGCATCTTGGTTGCTTCCAATTTTGGCAATTTTTAATAACACTGCATATAAATATTTGCGCATATAATTTTATATGAACCTAAGTTTTCAGTTCACATCAGTTAAGTACCTAGGAACATGAGTTCTAGGCTGTATTGGTAAGTCTGTGTTAGATTATTAAAATCTAAACTTGCCAAACTGTCTTGCAGAGTGGCTGTACATGAGAAGCAATAAACAGTTTTTGAAAGATTGGTGTTCTTATTTAAATAGTTTGATAGACTCACCAGAGAAGCCATCACAGCCTGGGCTTTTCTTCGTGGGAAGAACTTAATCAATTTCTTTGTTGCCCTAGTTAGCTGAACTACTGCCACAGAGCTGGGGGGGGGGAGGGGTGGTGAATGTCACAGAGTGGCATTGTTCTTACCTGAAGTTCAGTAACTTCCATGAATAAAAGCTTCTCAGTTTGTTGTGCCCTTGGTCTGTGTCCAGAGTGCTGAAACAGTTGGCTTTGACAGTTCTGTCCAGGTTTATAGTTGCTTTTGGGGAAAGAGAACCTGTCTGCTTGCTTCCTCATGCCATCATGCCAGAAGTCAGCTTCGTCGGGTTTCCCTCTCCTGTATCACCCCAGTTAGCAAAAAAAAAAAAAAACACGGTGTAACAGCTTCCCAAAATATCTCCATCTCCAGCTGCTACTCCATTTTGCCTCCTTGGGGGGCAAAATTTCCTCAAAATACTTAATGTACTCTCTGTCCTAGTTCCTATTCAACCCACAACTCCACCAAACTCAGAAACGCTGTTAAAGTCACCAATTTCCCACCTTGCTAAATCCAGATATGTTCACAGCGTTCATTTTCCTTAACTACCGTCAGTAGCCTTTGACACAGGAGGTAGCTACCTCAAGGATGAAACACTGTCTTTACTTTGTTTCCAGGAAGATCAGACTCTTGTTTTTTCTCCTACTGCTCTGGCCATGTCACCTTTGCACACTTTTACCTCCTTCCCCCCAATCTGTCCCCAAGCTCAATCCTCTGACCTGTGTTCTCTCCAGATTCACTTTAGTCTCATCTGTCCACTAACATTTCCCAAATGTTTGTTTCCAGCTTGTACCTCTCTCCTGAACATCAGTCATATCTCACTGCCAAACTCCTGTTTTCTGCAAACCCACCAAATCTTGCTAATGGGCACTGGCAACTTCATCCTTCAAGTTGCTCGGCCAGCAACCTTGGAGGCCTTTTGACTCCTCCTCTCATAGATCACGTCCAAGTTCATCCACAAACAAAACTTGTTGGCTCCAATTTTAGATTGATTTAGAGTCCAACCACTTGGCTACCACTAGTCCAAGCTACCACCCACTGTCTTGTCATCTAATGGACTTCCTATGTCTGCCCTTATTTCCCAACAGTAGAGTGTATTTTTAATCCATCAGCCAGTGAGATTTTTTATGTAAATCAGATTCTCATACCTGCCTAGCGTTCTCCAGTGCCTTCGAGTCCTTAGACGCTGCTCCCCCGTCCTCACTGACCTCCTCTTCTAGTCATGCTGCAAGTCCCCTTGCTGTTCATCAGTCTCGCCAGGCTCGTTCCTTTCTCAGGGCTTTTACATTTGCTGTTCCTCTGCCCACAATGTCCTTCCATGGGGTCTCCATGAGACGTACTGACTTCCTTACCACCTTCAGGTCTTGGCTCGAATCCCATCTTTCAGTGAGGCCTCATTGAACAGCCTGTATAAATTAGCAACTCCCTACTCACTAGCAGTCCCCCTTTGCCCGTTCTCCTTTATTTTTCTCCATGGCACTTTTACCATATGACACACTGTCTGTCTACGTACCATCTTGTCTCTCCCCACTGTAACATGAGGACAGAGATTTCAGTCTGCTTGCTCACTGATATATTCCCAGTGGGCTAGAGTAGTGTCTGGTGTCTAGTGTGTGTTTCTGTGTTTGAGAGTCAGGTAGTCATCATCATATGGTGACTGCCTGTGATGGACCACGGAAGTGCTGTAGTCAGGAGTCAGAGCTCCGGATCTTAGCTCCTATTTCTTTGAAATCTTTTTCTTGTTACTCTCACCTATGCTGATTGTTTTAGCCCTTATATTACATTAGCCAATTCCACACAGCAAGCCCTCAGTTTTTCTCTCCTTAGTTCCAGTGTATTAATCTTTCCCCAAATACTTAACTTCCTGATGGAAAAGATCAGCATGTATTTTATTCGTATGAAGTGCCCTTCCCACAACTCAGAGGATAGGCAAATAAGAATGTAAAATTAACATACTAAAGACAGGTTATCCCTGAGGACTGTGAGATTAGGTTAGATTAAGATTAGACTTTTGCCAATGACCATCACCCTAGAGGGTAAACGTACGGATGTGAATAACCTGTAGTGAGGACAGAGCCTGGCACATGAGGCCCTCAGTTGTTCAAGAGGGTAGACTGGTGCAAACCTCTTTCAGGACCATCTGTGTCTCTGTCCTATATTCGTGCTCTCTTTGCAACAGGGTGCTTCATTAATCAGCTTCCCGAGTACTCTGGTATTAGAAGGTGTGTTCTAGATCGCTTTGTTATAAATAACCTGGTTTTCAGGTTTGCATCAGTCCATCACAGGGACCATCTCTGGGTTTCCTGTAAGATCTAAGGAGCAGAGACAGGACTAGTAAACACCCCCTAACAATTCCCCTCTAGTCTCTTATTCAAATTTAGCCTAATGACATCTTTCTTGGGTAAATGAATCTTCATGAAACAAGGGCAAAAGGTGTATGCCAGTAAAACTATTTTTACGGCAATTTTCAGTGCATTCTCTACCTGAATGCTATTATCACACTGACAGAAATTGTCCATTCTGGGTCTCAAATATGAGAGGACTAAGTCATTCTGAATGATACGTGCAAGTTTTCTTCATAGAAATGTCTCTGATGCAAATAATAGATTTTGAAGTTTCCATTGCTTCTAACCTAAATGCATATTCCAAATAAGACATTATGATCACTAAACAAGCCCTCAGTTTAAAGCTATGTAAGCAGGTCTAGAGAGTAGTGGCACAGCGAAAGAGTGATAGAGCCATGCTGCTGTATGTCCTTCATTTTTTTGCTGCAAAGCTTTGTCTTTTGAGGTTAGATTTAATTTTTGAAAACCACCAAAAGTCTTTCAGAGACCAACTCACAAATAAGGTGGATGATCAGATTTTATAATCTGCTGTTGGTCCAAAATGAGCTGGCTTCGACAAAAATGTTTCCTTGCGTGTTGTAGCTAATAGCCTCGAAATATATTTCCAAATCTGAACCCAAGAAAGCCCAACAGGGAATGATAGAATGAGAACGTCCAATTTGCTTCATGTAACAACCACACAACAGTCTCAGAATAACAATACTAATACCACTACTAATCATGACTAATGAAAACAGCTTAAAAATTTTTAATTGAATATGTGTCTTCTCATTCTGGCCTCTGCAGCATGACCCCCCCCCCTTTCTTATTGGTTGTTCTAAATCTCCATGTTTATTGTTGGATCACATAGCCATTATACTGAGGGTGCCAAAAAAATGTATACAAGTGGACACTTTGGTCAACATTGCTCAAGCAGTAGTTCTCCATAATCACAAGTGTCTGGACACTGATGGTAACCACTTTGAGCACCTCTTGTAATTGCAGGAGTCAAACGTGACTTGTATTCATCTTTTGTTATCGATATATACTATCACAATTTTAATAGTTTTCCTTCTTAAAATGTGTATACATTTTTTGGGGGCGCCCTCTGTATATTGTACTCTCTCTTTTATCCTCATTTAGACTTGGGTTTTTAAGTAGCTGTATGTTGAAAGCCCTTATATCAATGTCTCTCTGGTCATTTTGGTCTGAAGGGGTGGCAAAATTTTCCTGAAAAGGCCTGGATAGTAACACTTAGATTTTGAGGGCCAAAAATGACCCTGACACGTGTGTGTGTGTGTGTGTGTGTGTGTGTGTGTGTGTGTGTGTACCCTTTAAAACATTCTTAGCTCAAGGACTGTACAAAAATACCTCTGGCTGCCGTAGTGGTTTCCTGCTCCAGTAGTTTCCTCAGGAAGGGATCATGAAGTTAATATTCCAGTCTGATGGATATAAAATCCTTGGCTCACATGTAGATGAGCCACATATATAAAGTCTGACATATAGATTTAAAATATGTAACTTCATTTTCTTCTGGCAGAAAACATTGTAGTTGAAGTCTGCTGATGCTCTGATTTTATTTTCCTTATAATTACTTGTTGGTTTTTGCCTAGATGCCCAAGGGTTCTTTTCTTTTTTCTTTACAGTCCAGTTGATGTTGGTCATTCTGGGTTGATATTCTCAGGTATGTAGTGTTTCTTCAATATGTAGTTTTAGGTATTGTTTTGTTTTTAAAGTTTGTTGTTTTTTTTTGAGTAACAAAAGCAAAGCTTTATATATTGATGTTTGAAAATTTCCATGTTTTTTTACCTTATATTTTTTCTTTTAAACTATTTTTCGAGCTTTATTGAGCTAGAATTAAAAAGTTAACAAGAGTGTATATATTTAAGGCATACCACGTTTTGATAAACATAAACATTAAGTGATCACCTCAATCCCCCTAATTAACATGTCACCCCACATGGTGTGTGTGTGTGTGTGTGTGTGTTTTGAGATCACTTAAAAAAAACGTGCTCAAGATTTCGACTATACAATTATTAACTATAGTCACCATGTTGTATATTAGATCTCCACAACTAAATTCATCCTGCGTGATTGAAACTTTTTCACTTAATTTCCAGGCACTGGTTTTCCCACTACAAGAACTGTTATCCATATGGTAGATCTTCTTTGCTTAAAATGAGCACATATTTGCCACTCTCTCAAATGCTTTATCTCCTCATTTCTGAGTTTTCTAATTCTTAGGACATTCTATACCATTTTCTTAATGACTTTCAGCTCATTTTACAGTAGGATGCAGTTTTGATTTGCTTTCTGGGAATGTCTTTCTGGTATGCTTTCATTGTTTGAACAGATGTTATTCTGTTCTACATTCTCTTTATCTGAAGGTTTTTCTAAGTTTGCAGAAGGAAGTGTGATTCAGGGTAGTTTCTCTGGCTTCACATAACTCTTCAGACCTTGGACTCCTTTTGGACACTGTTACCCTCTTTTTCAGTCATTTTCATATCGTACTTGTTTTTTTATCACAGTAACCACCCCAAAGCTCAGCTTGGCAAAGATATGACGTCATCAAAAGGATGCAGAGTAATCCTGTTGAAATTGAGCAACATCAAGCTAGTAGTGTGTAGAGCCTGACAGATATCAAATGTTGCTGTTTCAAATTTAAAATATCCCACGGTGCCCCCGTGTGTCTGCTGTGGTGCCCTGTGACATTCGGTCTACAGTTTCGGTGATGCTGTTACTACTGGAGACCACACTTGAGAAACCAGTAGGACCTTTAACTGCTTTTTTAAAAAACTAGAAGTACAGAAGAGAGATTTTCAAAGTTGTAGTGCCAGCCAAGAAGAAAGTTTCTTCCTTGGGACAGGCAAGCAGACTGATAAAAAGGAATATATTCAAATCAAAGTTTGGAAACAGGTGTGTATGCGCATCTGTGCATGTGCACGTGTGTGAGGAGTGTCCTGCTTGCTGTGCATGCACACTTAGATGTACGCTAGGAAAACTGGGATGTTTCTTTGCCTTCATCTAGTTTTCTTACTAGGGGGAAAAAAACTACTTTGAGTTGATGGAAAGGAACAAGAGAGAGCATGCTTGCATGCTTATTGACCTTGATGTTTGAAAGACATTTGGTGATGTTTGATTTTGTTTTTGTGACCTGCCATAGTGAATTTAATTGATTGCTAGTTTCAGATAGAGTCAGTCACCCTGCCACACACTGTATTTTATACTAAAAACTTTGTGTCTTTCAAGAGAAGGCAAGCATACAGGTATAGAGAAATCCATATTCCTCCAACCAAGATTCATCACACACAGGATCTTGGAGATTGTCCCCAGTGAAACTTGCCCCTAATTTATACCATAATGAAAACATGATTGACCTCTAAAAGAGCAATCAACTGCTCACAAGTGAAGTGACAGATACAACTTCCCTCATGCTAATTAGCTGAAGATTGTACTCTGTTCTCATGTAATCTATTAGGATAGAAAGCGAAGCACTAAAAATGCGAAGACTGTGTGCTTCCTGCACCTCCTCACCTCTCCCCTTCCAGGATCCCAGGAAATGCGGGCAACTGTTTCTTACCCCCTTCTTGCCCCAGCTCCTTTCCTGATTTTTAAAAACTCTGGCAATTGCTATTAGATTATCAACTAGATTGCTCAGTGAGGTTCACAGAGCTCTACAGAAAGCCAGAGCCCTGATTTACAGCTAACATCTAAGAGAAATGGGATATGGGTTTAATCCCACCATTTCTTTTCACAACAGAGGGACCTAGACAGATGACATTAGAGCAGCAGCCTGCTTGTAACCTAATCTCTTCTCCAGGATTAACATGGACTTTTACATCTGGCTCTTTATAAATTGGTCTTCTTATTAAGATATATAGAAAAAAGTATGTGGATTTTGTTTAGCCATGCTTTTCTAAGTATGGGTTTTATAATAAATTATAAAGGCAAACGCTCGGTTAGAATGGGCCATAAAGAGCAAGGTATTTTTCCCTTAAAAGAATTACCTTTTAATCAGAGACCAATTTTAATAGTTCACTTACCTGTCCTAGTAGAAAGCTAGAACCTGGAAACTCCTTTAGTCCACCTCTGTGGAAATGGCTTTTTTTATGAACATGCAACATTGTCCTAAATTGAGCTCTTGGCTTCTATGGACAGTAAACACTCTATCTTCTAGTTCATCTGGGTGAAATGGAAGAAAGACAGCGAAAGGAGCCGAGTGTGTAACTGTGCTTTGTTTTCCTTTCCTATAGCGTGTTCCATGGGAAACAGTACGAGCAGACTCTATAGTGCTCTTGCCAAGACACTGAACAACAGCGCTGCCTCCCAGCACCCAGAGTATTTGGTGTCACCTGACCCAGAACATCTGGAGCCCATTGATCCTAAAGAGCTTCTGGAGGAATGCAGGACAGTCTTGCACACTCGACCTCCCCGGTTCCAGAGGGATTTTGTGGATCTGAGGACAGATTGCCCCAGCAGCCACCCACCTATGAGGATCATGCAGTGGAACATCCTCGCCCAAGGTATGCCTGATGCTTCAGTGCCTGAGCAGTTAGGTTTGTGCTTCTGCACTTGCCCGGTGCACTGATGCTTCCTACGTGGAGGGAAGAAGTGTGGGCAGATGGAGGTATAGGAGTTGGGGTAACTAGGGCGGCACGAGCTCCCACAAGGGAAGATGAAGAAACAGGAGTCATCCGATTTCCCCCAATCCAGCAACTCAAGATTTATTTACTCCTTACCTTCCATGTTTGTAGGCCATCCAAGTAGAGTGAAAGTCTACTTCCCAGCACATCAAAAATTAAAGGACCGTCTTTTATCAGCCTCCAAACTTTCTGTTGTCTCCAGTTTTCAGTCCACAGTGCTAAGATAGCGTTTGCAAGGGAGAAACTGAATCTACTGAATGGGTAACAATGTAGAGCTTTCTGCAGGGAACGGGAGCTGTGTGGGGGTGGGGGTGAGCCTGGGGAGTCATGGCCGGATTCTCATCCGTACGCATCTATTTAACTTGAAACCAGAGATGTTGCTTCAGTTCTCCGTTCATTAAGATATTACTTTGTCATGGTAGAGAGGAATCCTTTCCTGGATTTGAATTAAAAAGACGTGCCAGTCAGCTTTCCACAGTATTGCCTCTCATGTAGCAGTCGAACTTTTAAGAAAAAGGGCAGCTTTTTAACCCCCCTAGAAAAGAAGGGCATACACTCTGACTTTACAATCTTGGATTCATTTATTTTTTTCCAAGTGTTCATCCATAAGTAGGAAAAGCTGCCCATTCCTTCTCAATGGTGTATCGGTTCATATGGCTTATAATCAGGGTTGAAATCAGTATATAGCGTTGAATATATTTATTTCATCTGACAGAGTTTAGATCCCTGGTATTGCAAAGAATACTGTTTAAGGCTAAAACTCAAGACCTTATGTCCATGAAATAGCTGAACATGAAAGAAAATCAGTCGCTTGCTTCATCTAGTGGTAAGAGGCTGTTGGGTTACTGCAGGAGAGGCAGAGAAGAATCACCCAGAGCTTCAGAAGCAGAGGAAGCGTTCGGAGGGTCTTGATTGGTATCAAATGCAAGGAGACTCGCAGACACTTAGAAGTCGTGGTTCTGTAGTAGCTGACAAGTGAATGGCTTTTTTTATTTCAGCTCTTGGAGAAGGCAAAGACAACTTTGCACAATGCCCTGTTGAAACACTCAAGTGGGAAGAAAGGAAATATCTCATCCTAGAAGAAATCCTAGCCTACCAGCCCGACATATTGTGCCTCCAAGAGGTGGACCACTATTTTGACACCTTCCAACCACTCCTCAGTAGACTGGGCTATCACGGCACGTTTTTCCCCAAACCTTGGTCACCTTGTCTAGATGTTGAACATAACAATGGACCCGATGGCTGTGCCTTGTTTTTTCTCCAGAACCGATTCAAGCTAGTCCGCAGTGCCAATATTAGGCTGACAGCCATGACACTGAAAACCAATCAAGTGGCCATTGCACAGACCCTGGAATGCAAGGAGTCTGGTCGACGGTTCTGCATCACTGTCACCCACTTAAAAGCACGTACTGGCTGGGAGCAATTTCGATCAGCTCAAGGCTCTGACCTTCTCCAGAACCTGCAGAACATCACCCAGGGAACCAAGATTCCTCTTATTGTTTGTGGGGACTTCAATGCAGAGCCAACAGAGGAGGTCTACAAATGCTTTGCCTCCTCCAGCCTCAACCTGGACAGCGCCTACAAGCTGCTGAGTGCGGACGGGCAGTCGGAACCCCCGTACACCACCTGGAAGATCCGGACCTCAGGGGAGTGCCGGCACACGCTGGACTACATCTGGTATTCTAAACACGCTCTGAGTGTGAAGTCAGCTCTTGATTTGCTCACTGAAGAACAGATTGGACCCAACCGGCTACCATCTTTGAATTATCCTTCAGACCACCTGTCTCTAGTATGTGACTTCAGCTTTAATGAGGAACCTGATGGACTTTTATAAATGCTTATCCGTGTCTTTTTAATTACAAGAGTCTTAACCAGGGATGTTTTAGGAAACTGAAATAGGATAAGTTGCCTGAGAAAGGATTCCCAGTTTCTGTCACTTCACTTCCATGTTTCCAGCATGCCCATGGGAAGGAATCCCCTTAAATTCACAAACCTTTTCCATTAAAACCAACAGCAAAAAAGGTGTTTGCACTCCAGTTTTGGCTTGTATTCTTTCCCTTACTTAGCATTACATATTGATCATTTAAGGGCATTAAATTAGGCTTGCTCTTTTGGTTTGATGATGCTATATAAAAATAGACTTGAGTCCTCCATAATTAACAATGTAAGTATGGAGGAGCAATTTCTCTAGACAGCATTTCAAGTTATTTATTTGTGAGTTTTCTAAATGTCAACAAGATATGCATGGCAATATTTATTTTTTTATATCTTCGGGTAAAATTTAAAAATTATAGTATTATGAACATTTGAAAACCATGCAAACGTAAGTTATAGAGTAATTTATAGTAATTTTCTTAAAGCTTAAAAATGTTTTCATTTGGCAGTCTAACAAAATGGTAGTGTACTATTTAGTAGTCAACTATTTAGCCTAGAGGGGTTTTAAGTGGAAATATCAGGTCTTCCTGGTATGTTCTTTATAAATAATTCTTGCTGTACCTCCATGTTCCCAATTATTGTGTTTCCAGAAGCGATTCCATGGCCTGTCAGTCTTCATTAATCACTGTTGATACATTTCTAGTATTCCATTGGAATGTTGTTGGTATACATTTGAGATCACTCAGTGTATTATTGATACTGGAATGTGCTTTTCACAATAGGTTATTTAGAAGCTGTTTTGTGGCAATGGCCAAGCAAGTCAGTGGAACCTTCTTTTCAGAGATGGAAAACTAGAAAACCTATTCACGAGGCTCACAATGAAATTTCCTAAGACAGCCAGATCACTGGTTCAAAGCATCCAGAAAGAACGTAAAAAGTTAGAAAGATAACCTGGAATTCACTTCCATCAGAAAAAAAGTGGTAAAGATAACAGGTGAAGCCCCTTCCAAATAACCTATTGATAATAAACTGATAAATATTTTAATCCATGAGTTGTATATATTTAAGGTTAATAAATGGTCTTTTAAAACTAGACTTTTAATGTATTGTCTTTTTAGTCCAAAAAAGAATCTGGGATAGATTTGATCTTTCAATACTGTTAATGTGGTGCCCACACTATCCATTTACAGAGAGACCTTCATTTTTAAAGTGGACAAAGATGGACCTACAGCTGCACATTTAAGGCATCTATGCTATGCTTACATGGTATCCCTCGGCGCCAAAGTTAGTTACCCAAAATGGTTCACCCAAATAATTCTGCATTGGAACCACTTTTGAAACAAATGAGGTTTTCAGTACATTGTATACATATACATATCATCTCAGGGCTACCTGAAAGGTATGGCAAGCAGAAAGAATATCTGTACCATTTGGTTCAAATCTTAGCATGACTAATGGTAATAATGTGTTGAGAAACAATACTGATTTAGAATACTTGTAAGTACATGCATAAATATTGTTTACCTACCCCGAAGTACACCAATCTGAAAAGAGATCATCACAACAGCCTTCAGTAGGCATAGCTGGATGAGAATGAAATGTTTGGATTTCAAATATTGTTCACCAATACAGTCACACACCACTTAATGATAGGGACGTGTTCTGAGAAATGCATCATTAGGGGATTTCATCATGCAACATCATAAGAGTACTTACAGAGTCGAGATGACATAGCCTACTCACACCTAGGCTCTACGGTATACATATAACCTATTCTCTGTAGAGGAGGAAAAGTAGTTTTTCCTCTATCCTTTTAGGTTCTTGGTTGAGACATCTCTGTAATAAGAGACAGATTAACAGGAGAAAAACAAAAGTTTAATAACATGTATACCTCCTGTATACATGGGAGAGACACCCAGGAAAAGTTAACTTGCCCAAATGGCTGAGGCCACCACCTTAAATACCATCTTCAGTTGAAGACAAAAGATGTTAGGGGTAGGGGAAGTCAGTCACGGGAGGCTACCAGGAAGAGTACAGTAAATAAGGGTAAGGTTGTTATGGACGGTAAGGAGGAATGGGTTGATGGTAATGGCATTTACTGAGCTAAAAGCTAAGGAACAGATTTTAGATGGAAGAGGGTTCAACTGGGCATTAAGGAGGAAGTAGCCAGTAGGCAATTAGATAAACCCATCTAAGACTTAAAGTCTAGAACAATATATTTGGTAGTAAAAACCATATGCATTGGGTGAGATTATCTAACAGTGTTGTTGAGGTGAAATCATAATAGCAAACATTTAATACAGTGCTTGCTATATGCCAGGCATTGGTCCTAAATCCTTAACATATTTAAATTAACTCATTTAATTCTTACAACTACTCTGTGAGGAAAAGAGCTCCATAGACAGAATCTTGCTAAGTACTAACATTAAATGGAAAAGCAGAGTTGGTCAGGCAGGAGGTAAACCAGGAGGGCTGCTATGGAAAACCAAAGGAGAATTTTAAGGCTGAGACACAAGATCATATGGGGAAAAAATAGAGCATCTGTTTTACTATTGGGTTATTGGAGACCTCGGTGAGAACTGTTTCTAAGCCAGAATTCATACTGCAAGCTACTAAAGAAAAAGAACGACGGGCTATTAACTGTTGGAACAAGGAAACCAAGTAGGTATGAAAGGGGAGGAGATGGTGATACAAGAAGGAGCCACACCTGCCTCCTCCTGGAGACAAGTGGTAAGGATGGACGCTAGAATAAGTAGATGGTCTTATAGCAAGGGTTCCAGAAATGGAGGGAGTTTACAGCTCATGACCTCCATTTTCTCTGTAAAAGGTATACTGCTCATTTGGTAAGCAGGGTGGAGACGGCTGGAATTGTTGTTGGAAGGCGACCTAAGGAATAAGTGGACAAGCTGCTGACCATTGTTCACGAGCCTGGTGAGGCTGGGAAGTAGTGGCATCAAGCCATTGTCATGTGATTCTCTTCTCCAATATGCTGGACACAAAAAGGAAATAAAATTTATAGTTTAGAAGGGTTGAGATTAAAAGCCACACTGCTGATGTCAATCACCAGAAACACTGCCATCAACATATACTGTCAACATGTATGCTTCCAAATCTAGACTACAGGTGTACTTAACTCTGAAAGATACACAGAAAAATGTTAGAGTGGTGGAGGTAAGCTAGGTAGCCTTGGCTTAGAAGCTAATTAGAACCAATTAATACAGCACAGGGGAAAGAATTACTTAAAATTCAAGTTTCTTTAGCTATCCTCCATAGCATGTGACTTATCTTCTTAGCAAATGTTACCAAAATCAATGTATATCTGTGTGTCTGATACGCTCAGCACTTGGGGAGGGGTGTAGGTACAGTAATCTATAATCTCTGCCCTAAAAGAACACAGTAATACCTTGGCTTGAGAGCATAATTTGTTCCAGAAACAAACTACTCGTATTGCAAGACATCGCTCGTTTACCGAGTTAAAATGTATTAGAAATATTTGCTCATCTTGCGGAACACTCACAAACCAAATTACTCACAATCCAAGGTTTTACTATGGAAGACATGACTCAACAAATGAAACTGCAGTGCAAGAAAGAAAACACAATTAAGTGTCAAAGAACAAGTACAATTCTGAAAGCTAAAATATTTAGGAAATGTTTTGCAAGGAGGTAGAATTTGAGATTAATTCTCAAATGGGATAAGAATCAGGTGAGTTCTTCTTTGAGCTTTTTTATTAAAAAGCACCATCAGGTATATTTATGGAAAAGATAAAAGATTACAAAGGGAGTTGTTATAAAAATCTTTGTCGACCTAAGTAGCATCTGATGAAATGTACAATTAAAGGCCACAAAATATTAAGTATCAGTTTATTTAAATTTCTAAAAGATGTAAAAATAGACAACTTTTCTTTGTAGTAAATAGAAAGAGCATTAAGATGTGGAGTCTCAGAACCTAGTTTGGTGTGAAATTAGGAAATACATCTAATCCTTCTGGTACCTCCACTTCCTAGTTTAAAAGGACGAGAATGTTACTCTTCCTAACCCTCAAAAAGTCGAATCGAGAAACAAATGGTGTTATTTCAAACAGAAATTCTTTAAGTGTGGCCAACATTAAAATAGTAAATTCGTTATGGTAAGTAGTAATTAGAAAGGAAGTGGCAACATGCAGATATTTGCCAAATATTAATATAATGAAACAAAACAGAAGTAGTATTTCTTACGCAGCAGTTGGGAAGGAGAAATAGAACTTCCATTACTTAACTAAAACAATGTCTCTATACTAGCTTTTGAATATTGTTATAAATATCACCAGAGGACAAAACACAAGATAAATTTCATTTCTATATTTCAGAAAACCTACTTGAATACACTTTGAAACAAGAGTACAACAAAATAGAATATACTTCAAATGTTGAATATACAAACTATTATAGTTCAAATCTGAACACTGGTACTTTCCCTCTTAAACTTCAACTAAAAAAAAAAAAAAGGAAAGGAAAAAAAGAAAGAAAGAAAACTCCAGGTATTAGAGTTACCTGACAAAAATTCATGCTGAGCCTTAACTTCCAAGTGACAGTAGGACTGAGACTGATATGTCTGCACAGATGCCAGGGCTAAATGAGTGACACAGGCATGTTACAGCAAAAGGCCAGAGCCAACTGTTAATTTGTCCACAATTAAGAAACTGACAGACTTAAACTACCATATAAAATGTTACATGTAAATTCTATAACAATACTGTGCTAGGTACAAGATTTTTAAAATTTTTTCTTTTAATAAAAAAAGCTTTACACAAACAAGCCATTAGCTTATTTCAATAAAGAAAACCGAAAATTAGTCTAAGGCCTTTGTTTTAAATCAGCTTAAGCTATATGATATAAAAAAAAAAAATCGCACTAGATCTTTTTTTGCTATCCTTTCTGAAGCTTTTGGATCCATTCTTCAATTCACATTCTAAAATACCTATGTTAGCAGAGTCTTCACATAGCACCAGTTAAGTGAGTTCTGTGTGAACACAGTAATAATTGCTGGTATGCATATAAAATGCATCAAAAATTGCTATATGTAACAATGAGATCACCCATCCCAACCCCTCCCCACTGAAAACTATATAACCTCTTACAGAATATTAGTGTTCCAAGTCTTAGTGTAACTTGATATTGTAGTGAGTTGCTTGGTCCCTTTCAATCCTGTTATTGACGGGTTCAGTTGTTTCCGACTGTAAGAGGCAGTTTTCTGTCAGCATTTCAATATGTAGTTCATTTCCCACTGAAACATGGGACAGGTAATTTATTTCCAGTAAGTTTGATTGTTTTCTTAGAAGCATTAAAAATGTTTTAAAGTCTTCTTTTGACTTCTCTTGATGACATCCCTTGCAAATATTCATGTTAGTACTATCACTAACAGTCTCAAGTCCATGGCAGAGCTGCTAGTTTACTTCTCACATGTCACTAGTCCCTCTGTTTTCATAGTTACAGGAAGGGCAATAGCTGAAGGCGCACTGACGACCACTACGTGGGTCACTGTCTTATTTCCATCTGCCGGTTTTTCTTCTTGTACCAGCTGCAAAGTTTTCACATCGTGTTCCTGCTTTTTTGCCGCTGCATCTGATTTCACCTCTGGCCCTTTTATGACCGCACTGATAACTCGGGGAGGAGTCTGGCCAGACGCCTGTTGAGTAGGCACTGATAGTCTCATTACAGGTGTACCGTGGGCTATGGAAACGGGGGTAAGTGCTCTCACAGCCAGCGGGGTTCCAACAATATTAATGCTTCCTGACCCAGTCAGATTTGACTTTGTCTGCAGCTGACACTGTGCGAGCTGTGTAGCTGGGATGGTAATAATTTTGGCAGGCTGCATGGTGATTTTGTCTCCATTTTCAGTAGAGGCCGGCATCACTGTAGGGATTGTCTGAATAACTACCTTTGGAGAGCTTGCTGTTGTTGGACTACTGGTGATTAATGGCGCACCTGCATTAACTGACTGAACAGCCACAGTTGAAATTTTCTGACCCAACGATGTCATTACAACAGGTACTTGCATTGCCACACGAACTGTCCTGTAAATTAGAAAAAGAAGTTGATTATATTTAATGCTAAATTAGAAAATAGGTCTCCTGAGCAAAAAGATTAGTACAAATCCAAAATGTACAAACTAGTGCTCCCAAATTTTACAGATGTACTGACAATCCCTGACATTTAAAATATGAAATACCATGAAGTAAATATACTTTAAAAAACTAAAGCACATTAAGTTCTATCTATAAAGCCATAAAAAATAATCCAGGTTAAAAGGGACATCACCTACTTTAACTAACAACACAATATATTTAAAATATCAAGTACTTGTCAAAGTCCTAATCAATGATGGAATCTTAGAATGCTAATATTAAAAAAAAAAAGAACATAACGTTTTGCCAC